CTGTGATAAGATGTCCGCGAACGTGACAAATGTCATATCACGCCGACAATCAAAGATTCATTTATGAGTTATGGCGAAATGTATAGAGTAATCGTAATGGGCGAAGTAATGGCGCGTAAACGCATTCGAATGTTTAACGAAGGGCGAGAGACCGTACTTGATGTAAGGCAGACCGTCTCTGGTCGCGCACGATTTGATGGACGAAGGGAATGAAAAAAGTTCTGGAAAACCGACGTTTTATAGTTTGCGATCCTGCAATACGTGTCCCTGAAGTTACGAAATCATTATTTTGCGAAATGGTTACGCAACACTTCAGTAGCGCGATGGACGCCGTTCGAAATCCTTGTACTTCACGAAAGGACCGCAAAACACTTCGGTAACACGAATTGTGTTCGTGCTGGTTGCGAAAGTCCTCGGCTAAAGACTCCCGGCGGCAGACACCTATAAGGAGGTTATCAAAAACCGCGCGCTACGACATGACAAATTTCTTAATATCGAAGAGCATTACATAGAAAAGTAGATTAAAGTATGCGATGTTTCGTTATAAGCGGAAAACAAACAGCGCAGGGACAAGGACAGAGTATATAGGCGATAGACACACAGCGCTGAGTTGTAAGTCAGCGCTGTGTGTGTATACCGCCTTCTACTCTTTCCTTGTCCCTGCGCTGTCTGTTTTCCGCTAATATGAATGACCAACTAGCCCAATCGTCAACCGTATTAAATTTCTTTATGAATGCGATGTCAACTCAAAATTGATCGTCATGTTTTACAGATTTGCAAGTGCGTGCTTAAAACCTGCCTCATTGACAATCTTTGCATATTAGAAAAAAATACTGACAGTACTACAATAAACAGATCCTGATTGTGTGAACAAAAACAAATAATTTCGACAATACCCATGTAACTAGGTGCGGATTCTGTAAAACAAAAAAAAAAATGCGCAGAAAATTCTTAAATGACTATGTGCGAATTGTGTGAACGGAAATAACGCAACAATATTCAAGTACCTAAGTGCTCATTGTGCGGGAAACAAACATAATGCGCACAATACTCGAAAAACTAGACACTAATTGTGTGATTCAAAAATAAGCGATCGACGTCTTTTAACGATGTCCGCATCATTCACTGTATATCCGGAGGCAATTTATGCGTTTTGGTTTGATTAAATTTTCGCGTCTAAAGATGCGGAAACTGAGATTTTCCACACACTTATAGGGGAGATCGGTGGCCGAGTGTGCTAGTCAATTGCAGCTCGGGGCGTGTGGAGTCGCTCGCGTTGGAGAACCCAAGGATTACGGCCTCAATCCCCAGCCTTCCTTGTTTCCACCTGGATCAGCATCGTTCGGGCCTTCACTCGTGTTATCGCAGCTCAGGCTAGCAGTGGTTACAGAAGTCACGAAACGACATCGGGTTGGAACGTTCATGACTTTGCAGAGGCGTGCTGGTCCCAGTCGGGTCCAAGTACACTCGCACACACCGCCACCGACTAAAAAGCTTTTTTTTTTTTTTTTTTTTGCGGTGGAAATGCAAGAATAAAAGGGAATTATTTTTTTTAGTCTTGCCTTCGCAAACCACGATTACGTAATTGTGCGATCGAAACCACCCGTAAAACGACAGTCGAGCTCGACTCATGGTTTGGACACGAGAACCGCGTGAGCACTCCACTTCGGCTCGTGACAAACAATGCCTCGGCGGACACTCGGGAAGTGGCTGAGGTCCAGCCACTGCAGTGTTAAGAACAGCCGACCTCTAACAATGCCTGGAGCTCGGCAGGCATTTACTGCTTTGCCGGCTCCAGCGCGCGGCAATGATTGACGTTGGCGGCATAGGATAGGCACCAGGCCACGAAGCCGCTTGTTCTGGCTCCGAGTTTTCGATTTTTTTTGGCGACTGCCGTTGCCTAAAAAGAAGAAGAAAAAAAAAAAAAACGAAAGCAAGTTTATTCAGTTATCAACGTTAGGTAGTAATTCTGAGTAGGATTTAGTGAAAGTATAGAAATCGTTTCATGGCCTCTTTTATGTTTTTTCGTCTACAGCTGGAGACACCAGTCGCCCATTAGCACTGACTACCTTGCGCTGTCTAAACATATACGCAATACAAGTTCGACATATTTCACTAACATATCAAATAGCTATATAGGCTAGGCTTTTACGTTACTCGATCAACAAATCTGCCAATCACTTAATTGTTGAGTCAAGCGGTTAGCCCGCTGATCGACGCATGCCACAGGAATGCCACGGTCGAACCACAACTATGTCCCAATTGTTTTCGCTTACGAAGAGGCACTCCCAAGCGAGTCCCTCATGATGAATTGCAGGATCATTCAGCCTAGCGTATGGATGAGCAACTGTATAATAAAAAAAAAGATATCAAAGAAAGCTCATGGAAAGAGGGCCAGTTCGCGCGGGATAAATAATCGACGAAACGTAAAAAAATAAAGCAAACAAAATACAGCGCGGATGAATCAAAAGAGACTCGAGTCATAACTCAGCCCCTGGCTCAAAGTCAATATGGGTCACCGTCCAGAGCCAATGAACTCAGTCTTGCGTTAAGGGACGCCAGAAAAGGCCCGTCTGCTTCCAACGTTTATGGTTCGTCAAGCCACTTTTTTTTTTCCCCTTTTCTTACCTTTTTTTATTAGTTTTTTTTTCCTTCTTTCCTTTTTACCCCTTTTATTCAGGGAAGAAAAACGGGGCAGAGATTTATGACCGTGGAAAGAAAAGAAAAGACGATTACTATATGTTTGACTATGGATCTCTTTAGGACCAAAAAAAGACTATAACTACATGTTTGATTATGGATTCCTTTAGGAGCAACGAAAGACGATTACTACATGTTTGACTACGGATCTTTTTTTATGTCGAAACAAGACAATTACTACACTCATGTCACGTTAATGGGGGTTCTATTAAGATATAGATATTCCACTGAAGAGTCAACGTTTTCGGGATCGAACAAGGTAAACATTCGTTTTTCGTTTCGCTATTGTGGACAACTCACATTACGGATGTTTTTTCTCGGGGGACTTACTTGCCCGTATGAACGAGACATCGCTGAATGAGTGCAGTTATGTATATCTTTGGGAATAAGAGTTATGCGCTGGGAACGCGCGGATTTTTTGGTGGGAACGGAAGGAAGATGACGCGGAAACTGAGACGACCACAAATTCTGCCCAAGGAACAGTTCTAGTTTTAGTTTTACGATATTAGGTGGATACAAAAGATGGCGACGCCGAAGATCATTAGACAGCGTTGTTGAACATGGGCAATGGTATTCATTTACTTATTATTTCGTAGCGGCGTGAATGGACTCACTTATGATTCTGATGATATGAAACGTTACATATATTCAGACTCGCCGTTATTGTTTATCAAAATATGTGTTGAAATTTTGTTTGATTTTTATACATTTATTTGATAGGATATATTGCGACCATTATCATTGATACCACAAAAGAGAAGAAGACTGAATTATAGGAAAGATCAGAGGCATGCAACAGCAATTTTAGTGCAACCAATTGTTTTTAGGTCCCTTTTTTTCAAATATTGCGTTGTTTTGCTATTATACTTTTGTTAACTGTGATGTCATTCGGCAGTGTAAGATTGCGGTGCACTAGCACTTCTTAGTGCGTATACTGATACTTTCCCTAACCCAACGCGTTATCCGCGTCTCCGGCGTCAGTACGATACTATTATTATTAATAACAAAATAAAGTTCGTGACGCACTTTCACCTCACATTTCTTTTAGCTCACAAGTCTTTCAAAGACTTTTTTCTCTCTTTTTTTTTTTACAATCCACAGCTTTTTTTTTTTTTTTCATATGACAGAGAAACGTTCTATTTTCTCTTGGTGCAAAACGAGAGACGGAAACCCGCAACTAAGCTTTTTGGCGTTACGCCAAAAAGACGGCGAATGGCGCTTACACTAATAATTCACTTAAAAAACTAAAAAAATACAAACAGGAAAGGCGGTTTGCACGTACAATTAAGGCCTATTCACAGAGTTGCAACCGAGTATGACCGAGAGAGACGAGACCTGTTGAAAACTTAAAATTTTCTAGGACGAGAGAACACACTGGCACGCTGGCGTCATCTATGCGGTGACCCTGGAAATGCATTTCACAAAAGCGAAGGTTTTGCGGGATTTCCGATGTCAAATATGCGCAATACCTATGAGAAAGGCTCGTTTATAACGTTGACAAAAGTTTTTCGAGCCAAGAGAGAGAGGATAATGCACGAGAGAAATAGAAAATATGCCGGACCGCCAAGTTTACATTGCTACCCAATAGATGGCGCCAGTGTGTCCTCTTGTCATAAGAGATGTTAAGAGGTTTCGGTTCTAAGAGGTCGCAAGTGTGTGAACGAGCCTTTACTCGCAGCTCCTCCGAGTAACCACGCTTTTTGAACAAACTGTAGGGGGGATGTGCAACGCCCTTCGGTAGCGAGGACTCCCGTACGAAACCAAATGAGCGCTAAAACCGCGTTTCTTGTGCTCGTACACATGGTGCAAAAGGACACGGAGTTTCTCCGCAGATATGACGAGAGAAATATCCGCGGACACGCCTCAGATACTGTGACTCTCTTTCGCACGATGCAATGGCAGTGCAACGGCAGATTCAATGGGCCTTTTTCGAGTAACGAGCGCCGTCTGGGGAGTTGTCTGCGAACTACAAATGAAGAGCAGCCCAACATGCCTCCGCCCGTCAAAACACATTGGCATCGTGCCGTTGTATTGTTTTTCAGTGTTCTTTATACCCCATGCTACCGATACTAAAAAACAAAGCGTCAAAATAGGCTAAATACGCGCGAAGATGAATGTGGCTGTCGCCATTTTTGGAGGGCACCGTCCCGATGCCCTCCGAAAATGGCGACGGCGGGAGTGTACGCATGCGCGGAAGCTTACTCTAAAAAGGTCCATTTGTGCCTCGCGTTTGAACGACAGTGAAGATATCTCCGTACTCCGAAAATCGTCCCACTGTCACTTCGTTTTGCTTTTTGCAGGTCGGGTGGAAGAGGCCGTGCGTCAGTACCAGCGGGCGCTCGAACTCCAACCCAACCACACGGTGGCGCTGCTCAACGCCGCCAGGAGTCTACGCAGCATGAAGCTCAATCGCGAAGCCGAAAGCCTCTACAAAAGGTATAGGAACAAACACCTGAAGATGGCGTTCGCTGGCGGACGCGTGGCTTCTAATTTGTTAGGGGTTTCCGCTATTAAAAGGCTTAGCGCTAATGTTACGTACGTTGAGTATAGGGTTCATCCTTTCAGGCTAGAAACGGGCTGGATTAAGCCGTCGCTTGATGAAAAGGGTTCTGTCGCGTGGATCCGTCCAGCTAAGGTGCTTTGGGCGTAGTGGCCGCAGCTCTCCGTACCTGAGTTTCGTTGCTGCTAGGCGCATTTCGACTACGAGCTTTGGGTGCTCCACGGAGCTTGGCACTGCGCCGTCGCAGTGGGGCGCTCTAAGTTCCTCAAGAAGTCAAAGCCTTAAAATATTTATTCTAAAAAGAAGAAAAGATTAATGCCGTTTTTTTGTGTTTGTGTTTCTTGCTTAGCCAGGCCTATAACGTGTTCTACGTGCGTCATCACACTTTTATTTTTATTTTTTTATATGTTACGCGTGAGTTTTAGCAATTGTCCCCAAAAAAAAACACCTTCCCGAACATGCGGTACGAAGAAAAATTACTGGCGTTGCCAGAAACAAAATAAATTTCAACTCGTACTCAGCAAAAAGAAAAAAGAAGAAGAAGAGGAAACGTTTGCATTTGTCCCGCCAATATGTCGAGGCTTTCTAGCTCCGCGTAATATGCAAGCGCATATACACCGAGAGTATTTTCGTCGAACGTTCGAGGAGCGAGGGCTCTACACCTCGGTTTCCATTTCGCGCTCGATTACCTCGAGCATTTCTTCCTACACGGGACCCGTTCGTCGTTCGCCGGCCGTTCTTTTGCGGGCGTCGCAGTCTCCAAGGCCACTTACGATACCGCCAACGCCGTGCGCACGCGGTCCATCGACGACTTCGCTCGCTAGCGATTCTTTAGGGAGTTTTCGTAGACCGCGCTGCCCCCTCCGCTAAGCGTTCCGCAACGAAGAAGTTGCTACTGCGCCTGCGCGCCGATAGCCTCGAATGTGGAGTTCCCGCTATTGTAGCGGGTTGCGGAGGGCCTTGCGGGACGCCGAAAACGATCTACGAAAACTCCCTATTAACGCCGCCATCACGCCCGGCCCAAAGCCGGAATTTCGACTCGCGGTGTGTGAACGCGCGTCGAATCGGTACACCGCGCCGTCTCGTGGCTGTACACTAATCGGTCAGATACGCGAGATGGCGGGTACACTGCTATGATGCCTCGTACAAAAGACAGTCTGCAAAGACACCAGTCACCGCAATGTCCACGCCGGATCTGTGTGCCGACTGCCTTTTGCATGATGTATAAGAACAGTGCGACCATATAGGTGCGAGCCTGGCTTTACGGTCGACGGCAGCTCCTCTTCGTATACTCTTAATTTAACCCGGGAGAGACTTAATTTCAGGAAGGGAAGTCAACTCGCTCTCGGAGTTGAGATCCGTGATCTAGCGATCGGTGTGGCGGCCTCGCGCGCTTTAGAGACAATTCAGCCGGTGTTTTACGGCGAGATTTCGCAACGGGTCCCCCCGGATGTGTTTCGTTGGGGGGGGGGGGGGGGGGGGGGGGGGGTCGTAGCACGTGACGTCACGGAGTCACGTGACTCCATGGCGTCATGTGATGCTTTGATGTTTAGCGGAGAAACTTTTCTCCCTGAATTTAGCGAGGAAAAAAATCTTTATAATGCAATTAAATGCAAAGGTGCAAGCGAGCTGGACAAGAATAATGAAAATAATCCCTGGAGAAGGGGAACAATCCCCTTCTCCAGGGATTATTTTCCCCTTCTCCAGGGATTATTTTCATTAAAGAAAATATGTTTACGCTCCATTTACGTTTACAGTGAGGGTGCGTTGATGGTCTTCCGTTAATTCACGTCGCTGTTGGATTCAAGTAGTCGCGCTTGCCAGCGCATGACCGGTCACTCTACAAGCATGGTACCTCGTGTAGGCTCTCCAGCAAGAGTTAGGTTTGAGGGCCGTGGTATGTCGACGTCGTCGCAAATGTCCTTCCTGTTTGCAACTCCAGAGATATCGACGCCGCCCAGTGGAAAAGACGTGAAGAACAGAAGCGAGGAGCTTCCGCCTCTTCAAGTGTGCGGCGAAAATTGGCGATGCCTGGCGGTCGGAATAAGAGACAGTGGAAAGGGGAACAAATGCATGTTTTCGTTTTTAATAAGCATTTGTGTGTGTGTGTGTGTGTGTGTGTGAGGCATTTAGAATGTTAATATTTTAAAGGGGCACGACACTTTAAATGTCGTATTTGTTTTTGTTGTCTAAAACGTCATAGACACGCAAAAAAAAAAGAATACCAGAGCACAAACAAGACAAAAATTCCCACGCACGCGCGCTTTTTATTTTTGACGTTTTTCTCTTCCATTCCTCACTTTTAATTTGTTATGGAATCGGTTATGAAATTAAGAAGCTTTGTAAACGACATTTCTATAATATTTACTAATGGGATTCGTAAAGCATGTTTTTTTAACGCAATTGCGAACGCATTGCGGCCTTCTCTTTCTTTCTTTTTTTTTTTTTTTATCTACCAAAATCTGAGTTTTGAGTGATGTCGCCTCCTTGATTTTTATCCTCCCTAGAAAAATATGGTGGTGCTAGACGCATGTAGCACTAAGGATGATCGCTGAGTCGGGGAATCGGACGAAGTTCTCTTCTTTAGGCGCCCGACAACAGCTCAGACTTCGAAAAGGAAATAGTCAAACGGTCAAAACAACTGGGTTTGATGTCTGCGTACCATGGTTTCGGTTGTGACTCCGCCGGGGCAGCCTTTCACGCAGAACCGGCGCTATGTGGCACCTCACGTCGCTCCCAAAGGCCCACAGCCCGTTCTTTTTGACCTCATACCGTTTCAAAGAAATTGAGATCGCCGAAAGAGCCTTAAAAAGAACTAACACGAAAGTGAAGCGTCGTCTGCTCACAGCGATAGGTGGCGCGCACGGAGCGGTTGATCGCGGGGCGTAGAGTGCCTTCATACACACGCGCGCTTTTGCTTGAGTGGTGACATCTCAGCCATTTTTCCGCCCAATCGTTTTTTTTTTTATGCATTTTGAAGTGCGCGCAATCCGGTGTCAGTCAGCTCGAGCGCGTAGCTTTGGCTAACACATAGACGCCATTTTACTGCCCAAGTCACGCACCGAGCGCTCGAGAGCGTCACGCGCTGACACATCCAGGGCAACAATGGATGTCTTCACCCTGAGACAGACAGACATGCAGGCACCCTAGCGGGGCGCGGGCGAACACGAAACGGAGGTGTGAGAGAAACTCGAGTTGCAGGACGACTCAATCTTCGACGTCATTGCGCTGGCACGGATCGCGCGGGAACTTCGAATTCGACGCTGTAAAATCCCTTTTTTTTTTTTTTTTTACAACTCAAATACTGAATTCCCAAGTTTCGAATCTTGAGTGTAATATACAGGAATCGCTTTCATTCGTGTCAGATAATAATAATAAAAAAAAAATAATTTTGACCTGTCGGTCTGACAGTCTAAGTTCCAGCCCCCTAGACATGCAGACAACAGATCTGAGTATCTTTCCATTTGTGGACGCGCCATCCCATGCAAACTTCCTTTGAGTTCCTTAATTCACTTTATTTTATTTTTATCTGCTATTTTTATTGTTTTCGGCAGTTGTAAAGTGTCTGGTGTTACGCTCCCTCGACCACCAAACATACTGTGTTTGTTGACTCCCCGACTTACTTTTCCCACTTTCCGCACCAGGGCGTTGGCGGTTCAGCAGGACCCGCAGGTGATGGACAACCTGGCCGTGTTCTACATCAACGCTGGGCGCGCCGATCAGGCGAGGGAAATCTACGAGCAGGTGCACCTACTCTTTCCGGACCACCTCGACAGCAAGGTCCACTACGTGAGTGATTCTCACGTCGCCTCCTACTGAGCTAGCATGAGTCGTCCTTTTTTTTTGGTTTTAATGAACCCGTAACTGACAGCTTAATGCCGCAATATCACTGCTCATTCTTCATACAAACCTCACGGTGTTCGCAGCCGGGTAAAAAAAATATCGTTATATTTTTATGTAATAATTATTATGTTTATTTTATTTAAATTAGGCCGATTCGATTTAATTCAGATGTACCGGAGTTATGTCGGAATAGTTTTATTTAAAGCACTCTAGCTAAAAGGTAGCGGTTTTGAATCACTGGGTATCGTTGTAAACACGAGAGATAGATTGATCATTCTGTCTCATCACTGAAAACGGTACGGGAAAAAAAGAATGTCGTAAATTTAAAAGTGCAGATGAATTCAAAGTTGTTTATTGAGTAAACCCCGTCATAGTAGAACAAAAACAGCTTCATATTTTAGCTAGTGGTAAAGCTTTGTCTTGTTTTATGTTCTGATCTTTTTTTTTTTATGTTCGATATTATTATTTTGTCGTTAGTTTTCTTTCTCTTTTCTGACAGCGAAAAGCATTAGGCTCAGCATCCAACCACAGGAACTCTCAATAATACAGCTAGAAAAAGAAACGACAAAAAAAGACTTGGTACTGAGTTTTGGTTTGAACTGGTCACCGCAAACGGCTACACATATAATTCTTTTACCGGGTCCTGTCTTCAATTGTTTTTTTTTTTTTCTTTTTTTTTAATGAAGAGTGTGGGATGGAAAAATCACGAAGAGTAAGACTATTCGTTTTCAGCCAGCCCCGACAGAACCACTTGCGTCGTCCCAACCGCGTATCGAAGCGACAGAAACACAAGTTATTTTCGGTCATTCGCGACGTCTTGTGTGTTTATGTAGCCGAGCGGAAACTCGGCTACATAAACAGGGTCGTAACATACGTGTTCCCCATTCCGAAAATGGTACATACATACTTCAAGCCGAGACGCGGGACCAGTGCATGAAACGACTGCGCAAAAGTGCTAAGAAAAAAAAAAAAACCGACATGGGAACTGTCCTGCCGAAACGGACTCGTATATGCTCCGTTCCTCTCTTACTTGGACCGAAACCGAGTCACTTGCGTGCAGATCCACAAGGATAGAGTAGCGTCTCACCTTAATTCACAGCGTCTGACTGGCTCAGCCCACCAATGGCCGTAATAACGTTGCAACATTCCGGGTAATTGATTGGCTCCCAACCGAACGAAAGGAATAAAGCGATGTGGGCGCGGATCCACGCTGGATGGTCCGGCCTTGCTGGCTGTGCTTGTCCGTAACCTTGTCAACGGTCCATCTCAAGAATAAAAAAAAGAAAAGTCCGCGCTATTTGTTTTATTGTTTTTGTTTTTTTGCCAAGCGAGCAGACGAGCTGCTGCTGCTGCTGTCAGCGCCGGGCTTCTTTGTTCGATTTCCGCCCTTCTTTTCCCGGAGCTCCCGCGAACCATCTCACGGAGAGCCTACTCGTAAATGGACCCATCCTAGGTGACGCCATTTTGAGCGAGCCGGAAAAGAAAGAACCGTTACGAGCAAAAGCAGAAGTGTAGCCAATAGCCAAGCAAACATCCAAGCCGAGAGACCCGGCCGGGAGAGCCGCCGCCACCGCGGCGACGGCTTGCAGCGATGCTATGGCGGAGAATGAGGGGGGTGAAGCTGGTCGTGGCGTTGGTGTCCCGCCGGCCTACATTGACGGCGAAAGTGCTCATTAATTCCTGAGAGGTTCCGGGACCGCTGTTTGCGACGACGAACGACGACGATCATGTGCCCGATGCCGCTGCAGGCGCAGCTGATGATGCGGCAAAGGAGTTTCCGGACCGCCGAAGACCTACTTCTGGAGGCCGTGCACAGGAACGGATCGCACAGGGAGGCGTTGCACCAGACGGCGCTGCTTTACAACCATACCAACCGGACGGCTGAGGTCAGTAGCCTATTAGGATAGAGAGGTCAGGGCCATATTGAGAGTTGGGTATCTTATTGGGGTAGTTAGGTCACTAGTATATTGGAAGCTCACTAGCATCTTGGACGGTGATGCCATTACCATATTGGGAGTTAAACATCATGTTAGGGTAGTGAGGTCACTGGTATACTGAGAGTTCAATAGCACATTTTCATAGGTGACAAGTACCGGAAATTTCCGAGATACGAGAACTGTGTTTTCTTGTTTTCTTTTTTCGACTCGTGTAAATAAATAGTGCGTCGCAGACAGCTCAAACTTCGTGAGAATATGACGCTAGCGGTATGAATAGAACGCAAAAGTTGCAGAGAACGATGAAACCTGAATCAAAAGATAATTGAGAAAAACGAAAGTACTCTATGAACTGATGTTCAGCTAAGCCTAATATCGCCAAAACAAGAAATCATACTTTGGGCGCCTGTAATATCTATTTTAGTGAAAAAAACATGTCAGCAAGAAATAAAACAATATTCCGTTTCTTGATAATTTTTTTTTTTCTCATTGAATTAAATAGATGCTACATGCCCTCACAGTGTCATTTTTTGTTTTTGTTTTAAGAATATTAGGCTTAGGTGGACGTTGGCTCGTAAAAAAATTTCGTTTTTCTCGATTACTTTTAAATATAGGCAATATCCGATGTTTTCAAAATTTCACGTTCTGTCCCTACCGCCAGCGTCACATTCTCACAAAGTTTGAGCTTTGTGCGGTGCATAGTTTGTTTCCCCGGGCACAAGAACACGGTTCTTGTTTCTGGGGAACTCCCTGTATATTGGGTGTTCAGTATCGTATTAGGATAGTGAAAATAGTACCACGTTGGGAGTGCAGCTGGTTTAACCGTTGTAAGTTGTACCATATTGAGATAGTGAAGCCAGTTCCCTTTTGGAAGATTAATACACTATTGGAAGTTCAGAAAGTTAAGTACAATATGAGCATAGTGAGGTATTAGAATAGTGGGGAGGCTTTCAGCACAACTAGAGTGTAGTGAAACATGCGAAGCGTTCCCGGCACTGACAGTTCACTGAGTCTCTTAGTGTGGATGGAAAACATACAAAGAGACAGTGGCGCCGTTTTCCTGAACCGATACTGACAGGGTTGCTTGACATTTCGGTTCTCTGCGAGATTTATTGAATGGTAGATACTTTTAGGCTCGGCGTATAACGGCCAACCTCGTGATGTCGCACTTCATGGTGGATTTCGAATACGCAGTGAAAATAATTATGAGGTCTGTGGAAGCGGGGTTGTTGTAAGGAAGGGTTGTAAGCGAAAAAGAACTACAAGGTTCGATCTAGAAAATGAAACCCGGCTTTTCGGCCAGCATAGAAAAACCACGCCTTCTGGACAACTGAACCTCCGTAAGAATGTTACGCTAGCTGTGGTTATAAAATTCGGAAGTTCGAATTTCATAACCACAGCTTCTGACATTCTCTGGAGAAAAACATTACAAAATAAAAACAACCGATGTCCACCAAAGTCATAAAAAAAAGTTAGATTGTGGGCGCGTGTGGCATGGATTTCAGTAAACACAATAAAAAACACAATATTATCTTTCTTACTGACAAGTCTTTAATGAAATAAATGCTACAGGCGTCCTTAAAGGGAAGCTGAAACACTTCTTGAAAAAAACGAGTTAGAGGTGAATTCTGGCTTATTTTTATCCCGTGAATCTGAATATCACTTTTGTTTTCCCCGAAGATGCAACTAAAAGCGAAAAAAAGAGAAAAAACATTCGGCCAGTCGTGACGTCATACTAGGATCTTCGGGCCTCCAAGCGCGTGTCGCTCGTGTGTTCAGCGCGTGCAACGGCAAGCTTGCCAGGTATATTTCCCCGCACTGACACCAGTCTTGACGTCTCTTTCTGACCTTTCTGAAAATAGCAAGAGTGCGCGTGCATAGCTTTGACAGGCGCTAAGATGCGCGAGAGCAGATATTCCGAACGCTCCTAGTGTGACGTCACGCCCCGGGAAGGAGGGGCTTCGGCGGTACTTTAAAAATTAATTTCTGAAGCCTCCGTGCACCAAATTGAAAAATAATCTTGATATTCCTGATCCTGGAGGTAGAATGAAGGCCATTGAAATGTTTTTTCTCAAATAGAGAACCGCTTCAGTTTCCCTTTAATACCATATTTGAGCTTACGTCGATGTCGACTCAAAGATAATTTTTTCTTTGTATTTTGTGACGCCATGTGCTGGAGCGCCATGTGCCATGTGCTGGAACTTCCGCTTTTTTTTTCACCATTGCAAGCGTTACACTTTTCCGGAGTTCCAGCTTTTTGCGATGCGTAGTTTATTTATGCTGGCCAAAAAAAAAAACGTGTTTCATTTTCTCGATCGACCTCTGTAGAATAGTTTGATCACTTCTTCCCATCAGGGCCTCCTGAAATCGAATACAAATCCAGAATGCTCCATACAAAGACTACCACGTTCAAGCCACGAAATCGAATCTTTCCGCGGACCAACCAGAAGATGAAGTAGTCCCGACGAATATTGTGATGCCCGCGCGGCGTTTTCAAGATGGCTGCTCTAGCGAACTATTTGCACATCGCGGAGGAACAGAGGCTGAGGAAACGAGGGTGTGGGAGGAGCCACTGGTGCCTTCTTAACTCGTAGCCGACTACACTTTCGATTGTGTGAGAAGAAAGAAAAGCGGTAGCGAGTCACGAGACGTTTCTAATACACCTGTGCTCTCCGGGTTGTAAATTTCCCTTTCCTTGTTTACCTGTCATCGCAGGCGCTGGATTTCATTCTCAGAGCGCTCCGTCTGTGCGCTGTCGATGATCGGTCGTGCGCTAGGCTCCACGCCGAGCACGGTGACATTCTCAAGGACCTGGATGACCTCAGTTCTTCTGCAGAGGTACGACCCCGTTTTTTCACCTTCACTCTTCATTTTTTTAAAGATGTAATGTCTTGTTAATATGGGAAACTCCGTTTCTCCCGAAATCGTTTATAACCTGAGTTGCCCACAAGTACGAGACAAAAATTAACACATTTACCGCGTTCGTCCCCGAAAACATCGGCTGTGTATGGGCGCATCTATATAATAAAGGTGTCATGAAACGATTTTTCTAATTTCACTAAATACTACTCAGAATCACTCCCTAACGTTAATAACCGAATATACTTGCCCTAGTTTTTCTTTCTAAGCAATGGGAAAATAAATCTGAGAAATATGAGCATCGTCCGCCCCTCAACTCGGAGCCACAACAAGCGGCCACGTGACCTGGTGCCTGTCCTATGCCGCCAACGTGAATCATAGCCACGCGCTGGGTTCGGCAAAGCAGTAAACGCCTGCCGAGCTCCAGGCATTGTTAGAGGTCGGTTATTCTCATCGCCGCAGTGGCTGGACCCGAGCCACTACTCGAATGTCCGCCGAGGCATTGATTGTTACGAGCCGAAGTCGAGTGCTCACGCGGTTCTCGTGTCCAAACCATGAGCCACACTCGACTGTCGTCAGACGGGTGGTTTCGATCCTACAATTACGTCATCGAGCTTTGCGAAGACGAGACTGAAAGAAATAGTCCCCCTTTGATCCTCGCAATGCCACTGCGACCAAGGCGCTTCTGAATCAGTGACGGTCCGTGCGAGTATACTCGGGCCAGACTAAGACCAGTACGCCTCTGCAAAGTCATGAACATTCCAACGCGATATCGTTGCATGACCCCTTTAATTAACGCGGCATGGAAGTGGCTTGAGATGACCGTAACGTTACGGAGAAGCATCACGAAAAAACAGTGGCAGCGACCTCTACCGTCAAAGTTCTATAATGCATAAAATGCATTACAGGGAATTGGTGCTTACGTGATGTATAGTTTCCCGCTCAATTTAGCGGGGAAACTGAATGGTTTTATAGGTCGTGTGACGTTGATTTCCCCCGCTAAATTTAAAGGGTGACAGAATTAGTGTATGGGTCAATTTCCCGCTAAATTTAGCGGGGAAACTTAATATATGTTTTGGCCACAAGACGTTATTTTTCTCGCTATATTTAGCGGAGAAACTGAGTTGACGTAGCGGTCACGTTCCGTCAATGTTCCTAAGGTGTATAAGACACGTGACGTCAATTGACGTCACACGACGGCATTTTCCCCGCTAAATTTAGCGGAAAATGCACGGACGGAGAAACGTTTGGGATTCGGGGTAGCATGGAACAGCATTTCATGCTTTAAAACATTACACTGCCGCTAAACTTAAAGGGATACGGAATTGAAAATTGAAATATAGAGAAAACATCAAGAAATGAGTTCAATATGATCAGCTAAGCCTGTAATGAATAATCGCACGGTCGTATTTTGAGCAGATGGCTATATTTTATGCTCTAAATGCCGCGATTTTGGCGAGCGCTTCAAAATCAGCCATGGAGGAGCGCGATGCATCTCGGGAGATCCGGCAGACGTCTTGACGTCATCATGCCTCGGACGACCAAGCGTACCGTAGTGACGAGTTTTGCCACTTGGAGGCGTCAACGCGTTACAATCCCGCTTTGTCGAAGTACCCAAGGGCTGTAGATATCGCGGGGCCAGCACGCGCACCAAACCTGAGAACAACCGAAGCACGCGTTTGCACGTCGCGCGAGAGCTGAAACCAAGGTGGCTCACTTCGTTTTGGCTCTTTCCACCAAGACGCCTCAGTATTGCGTTCAGGCCTAGGCAATCTATACCAGTGAGCGGACATACCGCTGCGGCGCTGCTTTCAGAGGCATGTTGTCGTCACGACATTCCATTGAAGCTTCATAACCAACTACCACGTGGTTTTTGATTATCGTTTAATTCACTTTAAAATATGTTTTCTTGCGTTTTCTAGCGCAATATTTATGTTTCTGTGGTTGTGCTGCTACCTGCGTCGTGTTGAAACAAGGAAATGAGCTCCAGAATTTGGTTTCCGTACCCCTTTAACATGCGCCTTAGTGCATTGGTTCTAAGCTTGGTTTTATTTATTTATTTATTTATTTTTTTGAGCGTCGTATAATTAAGGTGAGTATTATACGGATCGAAACCAGTTCAGAAAATATAAACAGGAACTTTATAGGAAACACAGGAAGTTAAAACCTTTAAAAAGCTGTCCATCAATTGTCATTCTATTTTTTTATTTGAATTTCAGCCGAACCTGTACTACCATTGCAGATGAGGTAGGCACTAGACAATGTTTTATTTCGTTTCATTTTAGGTTATGTCACCATTCAATGGCAGATACGTTCTATTGTGATATATAACGGTGCACCTGTAATGCGTATAGTTAAACTTAGTGAAGATCAACTATTGCCACTGTTGTTATTTCTTCTCGCAGAGCTACCTGATAGCTATCAGGTTGGACCCGGAGCTGGCTCATGCCCACCTTAACCTCGCAGTCATCAGGCATCTTCAGGTAAGATCTCAACATCTCTGAAAACGTATGACCACTTTATCTGAATTCCAATGTCGAGCTCTAACAAATATGGTTTCATACCACCCCTTCGAGGGAAGAATTTCGCTGATCACGTCACGACTTCCGTTGGGTCACCAACCGGAAGGGGTGACGTTAAGTGATTTTCCAAACCACGTGACTCTTTTTCCTGAGAGCTGAAAACGATTCTTCCTTGCTGTTTATCATGTGATTGCCGATTCTAAAAGCAAACAGGAAGTACCGCAAACGTTAGTATAGAGCCGACTTAAGTTTTGCCAACAGATTCGCGGCTGCCGTATCGTTGTTTGTTTTGCAATACATTCAATAACGTTTTCCGGAGTTATTATGAGTTTCACGACCTTGACGAATGTGACAGTCTCGTATTCTAGCGCCACGTCAGCAACTTCGTAAGTTCTTCGGAATCTATGGGAACACGACCCATTCTCTCGTTCACCCGCTCCCAGAAATGCAGTCTTTGGCCTAAAACGTAACCCTCTAAACACGACGCAATTCAAACGAAGATGAAGCAGCGATCCTTGCGGCTGGCAAAAACCCCTAAAAGCATCATCAATCTCTGGCGTCGCGAGAGCGTCTTCGCGTTCTGGCTCGCTTCGTGGGCAGCAGCGTTTACCGCTTCATCCAAGAGGTCAAGGCCCGCCCTCTTCCACATCTGATGTCATCACTAGTGCACCCCCCCCCCCTCCCCACCACCAGCGCCTTCCAGCTCTCATCTGCGTTGCCGCGGCTACAACATGGCCGCCGTCTGCTATCAAATCGGGCCTTAATTCTCGTGAGCGACCGAAAGAGACGCCATTTTTCTTTCTCGGAAATTATTTTGCGAGGGTTCTAACATAGATGGCATAAACAAAAACCAACTCGCCTATCACCTTCCGACGACTGGTGATTCACCGGATGTTCAACTGCCGCAATGCACACGTATCTTGCGCACAGCGCGACATTGTTCGTGCGAACACGGGTTCGTCGGATTTTTCTTTCCCCCTTTTTATTTTTCGTATAAATTGAAGTACTGTAATAAAAATACGTTTGTGTTGCAGAAAGTCTCCATTCGGTGCAGTATTCTAAGCGGAAAAGTTTCCTGCCCGACCATACTCTCTCGGAGCAAAATGAAAGAAAAGCAAAGAGCGACAATGTCGTGTTCACGTTAATACTGTGATATGCAGTGTGCATAAATCGTTCTTTTTTCTTTTTTTTTTTCGTTTTCCTGGCGTCGACATGGCCCGCATAACCCAGTCAGATAATCCTATCCGATCGTTTCTTTACTTCGTACAGATTCTATGGAATGCGTTACTCTGAGAATATTCATCAACATTGAACTGTTTTCTTTTTTTTTTTCCGCTTTCAAGTTTTGGTTTAGCAGTGCAAGCATCGCTCAAGGCCAGATGCTCGGGCTTTAACCTTGAGCTTCGCTCACACGTACAGTGCACTGCGAAACACTGTTACCGCGAAGCAGTTTTAATACTTTAGCCGGTGTCTTTTCCACGAGAGTCAAACACTCCAAAATACAACATCCATTATCTCTCTCCCTCACTCTCTCTCTTTCTATTTTTCTTTTTACTACTACCGTCAGAACTGTATATTAGTTTAAGCGGTAATCTTTCGATTCTGAAAGGAAAAAAAAAGGATAACCCGGCTGTCCCTCGTTCGTGCTAACTGTGTCGTACTGCCTCCATATCCGCATCGTTTGCAAGAACCCAAGCGTACGTTTTATGGCTCTTCTGGGTTTGTGTCGTCTCTGCAGGGCGACTACACGGGGGCTTTCCGCCACTACCAGACCGCTTTCACGCTCGACCCCAAGAACCAGCTGATCGTGGATAACATGGCCAAGCTTCGCCGGCGCCTCACCAGACCCCCGTCCAAGAAGAACGCGTCGGCCAAGACTTCGAGCGCCGACGCCGCCTTCTACGTCCGGTAGCGGCGCCGGACTCACTCCCCGACGGACTTTCCCCTCTCAACCCCGATGGCCAGCGGCTGCCCCAGTACCGACGTTGTTCGTCAACTTCACGCACGGGACACGTCCCTCGAGGAGTGGCCACCGCGCCACCAGCTATGCAACCGTGTGCCTGTCCGACAGACTCGCCCGTCGCGCGTGTGTGTGCGTGCGTGTGTATGTGCGTGCGTGTGTGTGCGTATGTGAGTGTAACGCTGTCGTGAGACCCGACACCCGAACCACGATTCACCTTTTCTTTTTTCTTTTTTTTTAATGACAAAGAAAAAGAGCGTGGGTTTATGAAGACCCCTTCTAGCGTTCCGTACACACACATTCTAGAGCTGCCTTCGTTGTCGTAATGTTCTTGCTTTGTTGATGTCTTTTTTTTTTCTTTTTTTAGCAAAGGGAGTGTCAGATGCGCTCTAGTCATTCCTATTCTCGCAGTGGTGGAGCGGTACAACAGTGGAACGGGATCCCTGCACTATGGCGCCTCGAATACGCCTCTCCGACTGGTGGGTTTACCGCGTCCTTGTGTGCGGTTTTCTCGACTTCTGCCCGATGACGTCATAGAATTGACACGCCGTTACCTGTCGTGATACCGGAAGTGGTACACCAAACGGAGGTAGACGCCGTAGACGCTCGTTTTGCTGCTGGTCGCTTTCCAGCTTGACGGGCCCATGAAACTTTCAGCAGCCAGGATGTCGGGACGGGACGCAAAGGGACGCTAAACTACCAGTCGGGGGCGGGGCCTTCCGGCCGCCATGCCCGGGCCAATCAGCGATCGTGCATTCGCACCACGTGACCCACCTGGTTTCCGGAGTTTGGTGACGAGGTCGGGAGGCTAGCTGCTGATTGGCCCGGGCCGGTGCGTAGCCTCCTGTCAGCTGGTGGGTGTTGACAGTGTAAGATTGCGTTTCGCCGCACAAATTCTGTCGCAGGGTGAAAACAAACACCGCAACGGGCGAACAATTGTTGCCGACGTGCAACCTCGCTCTTGCAACCCCACAAACTTTGTCCGGGACTGTAACGACGCGTTCGCGAGTTCAGTGGCCGGATCTGTCCGTGTTTGTGTCCGGCGGGTTCCTCGAGTTGTTGAGGGGTTCCAAGGTTTTTGTTTTTGTCCCGGTCGTGTGGGAAGAAGGCGTGGAACCGATGAAACGGTCCCGATTGCCGAATTAAACGACAGACAACGCTCATTCAGATATGCACTGAGGTTGAACTGCGACTGTAGACAACAAAGAAGACATCGTCGTAGTCTACGTTACATGTTCGTGTGCTCAACCGCGCTAGAGTTTGCAACAAAAAAAAATGTGACAAGACGTTCCGCGGTGTTGGAGCAAAGAAGAATTTTCCAAGTTTCGCGGCAGAAATCAACTCGGCTGTGAGAATAAAAAAAAAATCTTTAGAAAAAAATAAATAAACGAAACGTGGTTCACAACGTGTATCGGATTTGGTAAGGATGCATTTTTCGTTCCTCCTCTAGCTGTCTTTGATTTAACCGCGTTCAAACTAGAATTCACTAGTGATGGAAGCATACCGGCTTCGCTAGAGTATGCTTTCACAGGCAGGCTAAAACTAACTTGATGCCGAATGTGACAACGCAGCTACGTGTGCTCGGCGGCGAGTTATCTACTAAACTCGCAGTGGCCTAAACAAAAATAATAACCCATTTCTCTTAAAGTTGCTTTAGGCCACTTTCACACAGCTACCACATCATATGAAAGACAGTTTGCAGACAGTGTTCGACGCGTGTCTCTTGTGGGACGATCCTGCGACAGTTTTTGTTTTCTTCTGTATGTTAGTGGAAGAAAAGGGAACCTCAGCAAAAAGTCAGCGCGGTTCTCGCTGCATGTGAGCAGACCTAGTAACTCAGTCGCAACAGTACTATACGTTACCGCTGACTTAAAAGTTTGTAAGCACAAGCAAAAAAACGGTTGATACGGACGTATTTCCAAATAAAACAAAAAATTAACAACCACGGCCGTGCTAAAAAAAAAAAAAAAAAAAAAAAAAAAAAAGCTGTTTTATTTAAATGTCACGCCCGTGCTCATTATGCTTTCGAAACTGTTCGAAAGAATGTTCGACGAGACTTCTCTATATTTTAATAATAATAATAATAATAATGACTTTATTTACAGTGCCCAAAAACAACCACAGCGGCCTTCACTTTGGTGCACCTGTTCAATCCTAGAAACACGTTGGTATATTACCAACGTGTTTCATTCATCATTACTTTAGTAAATCATTACTTTAGTTGATGATTATTTCCTCGTGTGCTACCGATTTATTTATAGTTATTTATATTTATATATATTTATAGTTACGCGGGCCAACGCCATATTCATCCAAATCACATTTGGGCGAGAAAAAAAGAGAAAAAACATTACCATTTAAGTTGTTAAGTATTCTTAAACTTTTTCTTTGTTACCAAAAAAGCGCTATCAAAACCGCTAAAAAAAATTAAATGTTTATTATTTGCTGGGAACAAGCACACTACACCGCCGCCACCAGAGCATCTAGACGTGGTTTTACGTGTTCAAAAATGTCTCTTCTCCCAGAACGAAACGGGAGAAAGTTTACAGCACTGTCCATACGATCTCATTTCTTCCTGTCGCAACACCGAACTGCGCAACACCAAGAAACGTTATTCCAGGGCTTCGCCGGACACGTCCTTTCTGCACGGCTCGCGGCAAAGTTTTAGCATTCCAAGTATGCTATGAACATCTTTTCGGTTGCATCACCTAAGCGACAAACAAGTTTACTTTTACTTCCAAGAACCGCTTTTACTTTCAAACCGGCTTTCTACATGTGGGTTGAAAAAAAAAAAACGGAAAGAAAAAAAGTATAGCGGAGCTTGTGAGGGCAAAAAAAGGAAACCACACAAGTAGGTTTTATTAAGTAGGACGATATTTTGAAGCGACACAATTTATGTGGACGTGATCTTTTCTTTAGCGACACGCCAAACCGATAACAAATTTCAAAAAGCGTGTACGCTGTCACAAAACGGAGAACTTGCTCAACTTATTAAAATTATACCGGAATTAAAAGTAAATTATACAAGTCTTTGTTCGAAACCAAATGTTCAATACTGTGGCAGACATCGAGCAAAAAAATTTATATATATGTAAAGCACTAACACTAATGAATGATACGCCGCATAAAGCGTATAGTAAGCCTTTCTTCGATTTTCCAAAAAAACATTATTCACAGTTTTTATTCTAAAATTAGCACCAAACTCCTCCTAGAAAAAAATATAAACATAAAACAGACACAGACGCACTACTGCGTGTGAACCTCCTGCACAGTCGTGTTCGCCGCCTCGCAGCGCAGCCCAGCGGGACAGCAAAGCCCAACTCCGCAGGGGCGCGTCCTCGAAGAAAGCCCGAGAAAGATGGTTTCCGCCACAACACGGAAAGAAGAGTTTCGAAAGAAGGACGACAAAAAGAGGGACACACAAAGAAAAACAAGAGAAACCGAGGCAACCTAATTAGCATCGGACCCGAGCTCACGCTCATTAGTGGTTGCCTCCGCGCACAAGCCAGCCGCCGGACTGCTTGGTTTTCATGGGGGCTGCCGCCGTGGCGGACTTTATTAGAAGCTGCTACCCTCATTCGCGGACCGACCAGGAGAAAAATACTCCTTACTGTTGTGTCCGCGTTCCCCACCCTCACCGTCCCCCGAACAGCGTCTGACTTGGAGACGAACCGAGCAAAACTTAGACACCACGTCACACCAGCAGACGCGTCTGCATCAACGTCACTCTGTTCCACCCCTAAGCCGACAGCGAGGTGGAAGATACGTGATCGTTGAACCAGGTCACGTGGCTTCGATCCCGCCCATACCCAGGCGATCAGCAGATGAAATGGGGGCCGCTGATTGGTCTAGCGGTCACGTAGCTTCTACTGCACTGTCGGCTGGGGGTTGAACGGAGTACAGAGAGGATACGCGCGTGACGTCGCTCGCTCGTGACTTCTGATTGGTTCGTCTGCGCTGTGACGAACCAGAATTCGGGTTCACGATTGGCTGAGCCGGGTGACGGGCTTTGGCGGCGGTCCAAGTGGAGGTGAGATCGGGAGCGCTGAACACGGGAGCGCATCTTAATTGCGGGATCGGGCTACGAGAAGAAGGGAGAGGAGGAGGAGGTTTTCTGGCCAGGTTACGACGCTGCTGTTCGGTCTCTAGTCTTAACGTTCGCTACAACATTTTTTTTTTTCTTCTTTTTTACGGGCGGGAGTGTTTTGTGTTGCTAATGGAGATGCAGCAGTAAGGAAGCGTTGTGTGCGGTGTGCGCCACCCAAAAGTTTTCCGGGGAAACGGGTCGACCGGGTCGAGGCTAAGACTTGTGACACGATCGGAAGTGGGGCGGTGACCGGCGGAACATATGCAGCAATCTGGGATCCTGCGAGTTTGGGTAAATTTCAACGAGGTAGAGGGCTTTAGAGCGATGAACTGGCAGCTGAAATTGGCCGCCACCATGTTGCACGTTTTTGACCACTTGACGCGTGATGTTTTAGTTTTGCGTCTAAATTCTAACCAAGTACCGTGCACAAATAAGTGCTTATTGATCTTTAATAACAGCATCGACGAAATAAGTTATGTTTCGTTTGTTTTAGGCCCCAAATATGCTTTCACGAAAAAAAAAAAACTCGGACAGCTTCGCGATGCCTCCGCTAGATGCCTTCAGCCGCGGTGCTGTATTTTGGGGTTTTTATCGGAGCTAGACACTGATCTCTGGGGCTAAGACTATTTAAAAATTAGGCAGCCATATGTTTTTACAGCGATCGAAATACAAAACTCGGCTCAGTTTTGCGTAAAAACCTGAGGATTTGGTACGGTCACGTGTCTAGTGGTGAGAACTGTACAACATGGCGGCAGCCAGGGGGGTGGGAGGGGCACTTTGTGCCGGGTGAATGCGATACCAGGTTATCGCCCTAAACCCCTTTCATCTAGGGCCTACGGGCTGATGGCGCAATTCGCTAGTGCATGGTAAGTGGAACTTGAAACAGCGTCATTGGCTGATAGCGCAATTCGCTAGTGCATGGTAAGTGGAACTTGAAACAGCGTCATTGGCTGATGGCGCAATTCGCTGGTGCATGGTAAGTGGAACTTGAAACAGCGTCATTGGCTGATGGCGCAATTCGCTAGTGCATGGTAAGTGGAACTTGAAACAGCGTCATTGGCTGATGGCGCAATTCGCTAGTGCGTGGTAAGTGGCTGTTGAAACAGCATCATTGGCACTGGAGGTGACTAACACCTTTGTTGTCGCACTGGCTCGTAAAGCAACCAAAACTGAATAGTTGTAGACGAACAAGGTGTCGTTCCTGGATCTGCGAGACGCTACAAAGGAGCTGTCATGATCATAGGCGAATAGCAGGTAGATTATAACCATAATATTGAACCAAGTCCGAACACGAAAAACGAAACAAAATTTTTCTCTGGGATTTCTATTCCGTGGGGTAAAAAACGAACGCGTGTTTCGTAGGTCATTAACGTCAGGGATCCATTCTAAGCGGTATTTGCGCAAAGTACAAAAATTGTTGCATCGCCCCTTTAAGGGTAAACGGAATAAAGTAAACACGTTAAGTTTCTCCGCCATGTCACATTCGGGACTGAGTAACTCCACGTGAGAGCAATACCGCCGCGAACTGGCGCTGTTTCCTAGAAACGCATGACGTGGCGGCATTCCAACGGAGCTCCACAAAGCGCCACCAGACGCAATTTTGAAATTTGTTCATTCGTTTTAACATTAGTTTTCTCGACTTACCCGCCGGTCGCCCAGGAACAATAGTCTAGGCTAGTGTTTCTGGGCTGCCGGCACAACATAGACAAAATTTAAATGAAACTAAAAATTAAGTGCACCCATTTCGTTTCCGTACCCCTTTAATATAATCTCTCATTCATTGAATCAGTCAGCTCTCGTCATATTGAGCGATCTTGAAGAGATCAAATCCTGGTATGGTGCGCACCTGAAGACAGTTTGCACCGCGTAAAATTTCACATTTTAAACATGTACAGACCGCGGGCTATGTTCCGGGAAGTACGCTAATCATAAAAAAAGAAGGGTCATTCGTTTTTCATCTTCTAAATTTTTTTCGTGGCTCCTTTAATAGCTTCTATCACTCCCCGTAGGATTTCTTTTTGTCTATGACAGTTTCAGTTTTCAGTTTAGATGGAGTGTTAGCAACCCCGTTTATTTATTTTTTTATTTTTTTTTTTTACATAGAACAGATTTTTTTTTAATTATTATTACGGTGAACGGCTTTCGTTGTTTCTATGGGAAGTATTCACTGGCGGCCATAGCTGCGTGCGCGAATGTTGAGCGCGTGCTGGTGGCGAGCTCCCACAGTTCTTTTGCAACGTGCATTCCGCACCATCAAGAGTGCCGGTTTTAGCAGCCTATTGATGAGAGCTCGTTCTGAGCCTGCGCTCTAAACAGCACCCACAAATATGGCGTCCAGTGAATACTCCCTATAGATGGCGACAGGCTAAGGATTCGGTAAAAAACATCGCGCTGGTTACTGGGTTCTTAACCCGTCAC